CAGTTAGTTAGATAAGTTTCCTGCAGAAACAACTGCATTTAAGCGAATTGAACTTCAAATTTTCACACACCTTATGGCACAGTTCCCATATCTGGGGCGTATATCAAGTCCGTTTATCTACAGATATCAGGTAATCAATCAAGTAAGTCACTCGGAAAACACCCGCGATTTTCACAGATCGAAAAGCGACGAAATAACAACCGCACGTAAACGCCAACGGATGGCAACTAACGCAGCCGAAAGTCCTACTCCGATTTCATAATTCTCGCCCACAAAAGGTACAAAAGTACTCTCTCACTCACTCGGAAAAGCGTTATCTGGCGTGTGATAAGGGCTTATCGCATAATTGTCCGCTGATTGCTGCCAGGTAAATTTCACTCCGCCACTCAGCCACTCTGCCACTTTTCTCTGGGCAAACAAACATTTGCTCCGAACGGAGAGGAGTTCTCCCGCTGGAAAGTTGGCGTTGTTTGAGTTTCCTATCGTGCGGATTGTCGGGGAGCACAGGTTGACGAGCTCTTTAATTGACTATCTTATCGAAACAGCGGAGTGCATCGACTGGGGAAGGGGAAGTGCCGTCGCTCGTCAGGCGGGGATTAATCCGGCAAACACTCCGATCGCCGCCCTTTTCCTGGAAACTCATGACGAAATAGGATTCCGGAAAATATCACAAAGGAACGAGCGAAAAGGCAACTGCAATTACTTTCGAACTCTCGACTTCGCGCTCCATATATCCGCACTATAATGCTCATAAATATAAACTAAACTCATGCGAGTGGCCGCTCTGAATTTATATGTACGGGGATATATCCTCGGTCCGTCAGCTCAGTTCGTCGGGCGGTTGGTCCGTGTGTCTGTCTGCAGGGCCATTACACAAATAGCGGCGCTCGTGGGGAAAAGCGGAGAAAATGGAGACCAATGAGCTTGCCACGTAGCCAAAGTATCGATGAGTTTCGAGTGGGTGACTTGTGGGGTCGTGTGACCGGACAGCCGTTCTCAGCCGTGGCCATAATATCGACATCTACTCTCTCGCCGGTCTATATACCATATATATCCGAATCGTATATAGAACCCCTGAATAACCGATACGTGTTGGTGGGGGAAGGAGCCGCGTTTTGTGGGTTCGTTTGTCATTGTGCCATCAAATTATAATAAGCGACTGTTTAGTGGTAAATGTGTGTCACTTTACATATGGCCTAGTCCTTATATGCCTGTCCCTTTCCCACTTTCCAAGGAGATAGTGGATAATGGAGGGGTTGTGGGGTGGACAATTGGAAGTCCCCACCCCAGCAGGAATCCGAAAACGAAAAAATCGAAATTCAATTATCTATTCATTGAGCTGAGTTATAATTTGGCTGTGCATGTTTGGGTGGGGTTATTACCATACCACATTTGGACCAGGGATCAACATATAAAGCATAGAATTAATAATTATTAATTGAGTCCTACCGATATCATCACTATTATTGTGTAGCATATGGTTTCTAGACCTTCATTCACAAACTTTTCTATTAGCTGATAAGATATGTAATTTTCAAATAATTTTACAATAATGTGAAATAGTGTTAGATTAGCAGAACATATTAGCAAAGTCAGAGATATAAGTAAGTTCTTCTTATCAAATTCATTGGTTTACTATACTACACTAAACCAGTTACACAAATAAGATATATACACTCCATCGGGCTATATATAACCCCTCTCCAGCGAGTTTAAGCCAAGTATAAATTAACGCAGTACACCAAAATGTTCTGATTCCAATCTGCTGCTTATCGGGAGCTAGCGTCTGTACCTAACTGTTTACCGGTTTATCTAATCTGAGATTCTTATCTCGAGCAATTACTCCGCACTTCCTCCGATGCCAGGTGCCCCCCTTTTGGATCCCCCCTTCCCCTCCAATCCTAGAAAGAATTCATGAGTTGCGACAGGAACAGTGGGTCACGTCTGCCTTCCTCCACACACACAAACAGGTACAGTGGCCGCCATAAAAATTCTGCCATTGAAATCGAAGATATATGTTGGCGTATCCGTACAAGGATAGTTACTGCTGCCCCATCAATTGCCCTCATTTACACAGGAAAAAAATAAATGTTGGTAAGGCAAGATTTCATTTCAGCAAAAAAAAAAAATTTTCTTTTCATTACTTTTTATTAAAATTTATTGAACATTGTAGTGAATTATATTCTTTAATTTCATACATATTTTATATATTTTTAAAAATGTTATGAACTTCTTTCTGAGTGTTTTTGTATGGCAACTAGTAACCCTTTCGCTCCTTCTGCAGTTCGATTTTTTGTGTCCTTATTGTTTCGGCCGGCCCCGAACGGCGATCAATATTGAATTGAATTTGACCAATGGCTACAGCCCCGATTCGGCCAGACTTTGTCAGTCTGCGGGCGAGCGTGTTGGTTAAGCGGAAAATGTTATTTAATAATTTACACCCGGGCCTTTCGGTAACAGAAAACAGAAAACACACTCGGAGCCAAAGTTGTTTGCTGAGGGGAAATATTAAACGCAACACCTCTCCCCCCTCCACATCAAGCACATTCACCTGGGCGAGCTCTTCAATTCCAATAATATTATTAGAAACTCAACTGGAAAATCGAAGTTGAAGAAACCACAGGAATGCGGTTGAAAATGCAACAAAAGCCAAAACACAGTTTAGTGGTTGAATAACGACAACAGCAGGAGCCAGGACATGGTCGAAGTTCTCGGTTGAATTTGTGGGTGGGTAGTAGAGAGGGGGAGGGGAAAGGGGGTTTTATAGGAGGGGGGATATAGACCGACCGACAGACCAACCGACCGACCGACCGACCGACAGACAGACAGACAGACAGTGAACTACTAATAAAGCCAGGTGAACGCAGGTGGAGAGCAGACAAAAGGAAGCACAAATAATATAAATTAAATGTGGGGAAAGTTCCCCTCTTCCGTTCAACCTTCCCCCACCCACTCGAAAGAAAAGCAAGCTGAGTAATTATTTCCGGCAGAGCGAGCAGGCAAGGAGGAAAAGGCAGGACACGGAGCGAGAGTCCTTGCGGTTTGACTGCAACACATGGCCGGACACTTAAACCGAAGTGTGGCAAACGGGGTTGGAAAATCTATCTGGGCAATAATTTCGGTTGACATGCTTGCGGTAATTATTGACCGTAATGACAAAACCGTATACGTACGGACTATACGGAAAATGGGAAATGGAAGCCCCAACCAAACCAATCCCGACCAATCCCGAAACCCTGACAAATTGCTTTAGTTTTTGGGGTCATCTGTGTTTGTTGGTTTGTTTGTTTGTTTGATTGTTTGATTGTGTTTCGTCTAATTGGATGGCGTTTTATGGTCGTCAGCTGACTGCGGATCGGCATTAATTTAGCACGGCTAGAACCTCAAAACAAATAAAAATTGTCAACGGCATCGAACAATAAACAAGCGAGTTGCCAACAATAATAACTTGGCTCTGTTTCTTTTATTTGCAAGATTTATGGACCACTAGCCTAAATATAGCGATATTATTTGGAACGGAGCTGTCGAACACAACACAGTCCGTGAGTTTGTCCAAAAAGCAATTAATAATTTCCTATCGCCTATTTTCGGATGGCTCTCTTCGTTTTCTATGCCTTTTTGTGATTTTTCCACGATCTATTTTCCGATTTCTTTCGGTTTTTCGCTAAATTCATTTCAATGCCGGCTATTTTTGTTGCAATGCGGCCCACATGTTGGGCATCGGGGCATAATAAATATCGGATGCGGCCGGCGAAATGTGCCAAGAAGATCAGCTGGAAATTCTCCCAGTTTCAAGAGTCTTTTGTTCGTCTTTAGACAAGTCTTTAGAGGCAATTGGCTCTAGTTGTGCGGTAGCTCTTCCGTAGACTAGAATGATTTCTTTTGTGTGACAAATTGGCCGGGTGATTGCGTTAGCGCAGATCCAAGATAAAAGATCCAAGATCCCAGAAGACACACGACCGATGACGAAAAGACCGTTGATCGCGTGAGTTGAGCGACAAATGAATTCACTTGATGGGTGAAGTGCGAGGTCAAATCTCTTGGATGCCGCACAGCAAACGCACTCGCAGATACAACACCCACAGATACAGATGCAGATACGGATACATTTACGCACACGACGCGCTGCAGACACAATCAACAAACAATAAGCGAGACAAATTTACAACACTTGGGAATTTATTTAATTTGTATGACATTTCGTACGCATTTCACCGCAAGGTAGATCTTAAGAGCTTTGTTTAACTTAATTAGGTAAAGAGTTCCACCTTGTTTCCCGAGTAAATATTTTCTTATCTTTTTTCACTTGTGATTTTCATATTTATATTGCACTGACATGAATGCAGAAATATTTAATGTATTAATGAAAATATTTATTCAATTTTGTTGGTTTCACTTGAAACATATTTTTTATTTATTAGCATGCAAATGAATTCATTGTAATATGCAAATTATTTTAAATAAAAATAGCTTTTTTTTTATTTTTTTTGCACTGAAATATCTTTACGTATTAGTTATAATGGTTTTTTTTATACGAAATACGATTAAGATGAAATCAATTATCGCTTCAATGTGATTTATATACACATTTATGTTTATACATATTTATTGAATTAATTTACTGCGTTTGAAAAACACCATAAACTTGCACTCTTCAGAAGTTGAAGTATTGTTTTATGACAGCTTTATTGTTTTTTATATTATTTTTTATAAATATTCAATGAATACATATATTTGCAGGGCACCTTTTCATTTATTTATTATGTATTTGAATTAATAAAATTCATTTTTAAACTGCTTTATATTTTTAGAAATATATTTCTTTATACTTAACGAGTTCTTGAGATCAAAGGGCACTTCAACTGCACTTTTTGCACTTCTCGGCTAGAATTTCCTCACTTTCGAACTGGCACTGCTGCGAGTGACATGATTTCCAAAAAACTGCACTGGGCCACGAAAATATTATTTCATATATGTATGGTATACTGCACTCGGTGTGCTTTTCTTCTCGGGCGTGTAAAAGTGAAAATGCGAGTGGGCGGCGACGAAGCGGCGGCGACGACGATGCGCGCGATTTTCTCGCGTTTGGCTGGCGGAACGTTCAAAATGGCACTGGCCGGCGGTCCACGGCGATCTCCGATCGGCTTGACAGTCCATGGAGCGCCCAGCGGACCCCTCGTCACTTATTCCGGAATATAAATTATACATACGTATAAATAATATTTCGAGAAATAAAACTTATGCATGTTCTTTTTATTTAGAATTTAATTGAATTTTGGGACGGGGGAAGCGGTTCGCGCGGTCGACCGTTCGTGTTGACCATAATTAAAATCAAAACACAAATTAATTTGTCGCTCCTTGTCGCTCTCGTTGCACTTGCCGCTCTGTTTAATGTCTCGCGTTTTTCGCGGAAAACTATCAGCAAGTGTCCGCCGGAGAGAGCGGAGAAAAGCGAAGAAAAGCAAAGAAAAGCGGAGAAAAGCATTGCTGCGTGGGCATCATCGGGAAATCTGAGTGAAAATCCACGTCTCTTGCGGTTTCTTGGTCTCTGCGATCGATTTTACGAGCTGTCCAAGCAGAACCAAACAAAACCATAATAGAACATATGTTGCTCTTTTATTTACCAGTCTTTCCGATTCCTTGTCTCTGTGTTTTTCCGCCACCTAGGTGAGTTTTCCTCTATTATTCTTATTTTCCCGTGACATGTTGTCAGCCGGATTAGTTTGGCCGTTAGTTTGACAGACACTTAAGTGGGTGGCAGTTTAATTTGGCAGCGCTGCTCGAACCATTTGGATATTACTCGCCGGATTAATGGGTGTGGAAATGACCCATTTGGTCTGCACTCAATAAAATCCAAATTAAACGATTTCAGATTGCTGACATTTTTCGTGAAAAGCAACAATACATGTAAAAATATTATATAATGTGTAACCATTAAGTTTAGTATAAATGAATTTTAATAAATATTTAAATCAACAAGAACAACATAAATTATTAATTTATTTGGAATATTTCTGATTGGGTTTATTAACAACCTCTGCTGTAAAATAGTTTGTACATTTTTGGATCGTTTTCAAATGTCTAAAGTTTTAATTTTTTTTACATATTCATGCATATTCCTCCCACATGGAAAATTTCCCACACAGCTCTCGAAGATTTCCCCATGTTATCCATCGATCATTTTTAACGCCACGTTGTCAAGTTCATTCCTTCTTCCGATTCCCATATCTCAGAACAAAAGATCTTTCTTTATCCCCAGCCAGTGGCATTGTTAGGGGTTCGTAAAAGGCTAAAATTAAATCACATCACTTTGCTTTCAATGTCAATGGCTGTGAGTTCCGTGATTCGCTTGTTTTTGCGATTTCTGCATCCAGGTTCATTAAAGAAAAAAAGGTACAACGAATTTAAAGGTCCTGAAATAGAAAGAGAATTTGCAAAACAGCTTTGGGCCACTTTCAAACTACTTTAGTTTTCCTTTGCTCTGGTCAAAAAATCATGAGCAGCTAAAACCAACACAAACTTGCATACATTACGACCATTTGATTACCCTATTGGTATTCTATAATATATTTTGGGTAAATTATGAATACATACTACATAGTAACAACAGTTAAATTTTAAAAAAGTTTAAGCAAATAAACTATACAAAGTAAACGTTTAGGCTACATTTACATATATTTAATATTTATTCGTATATATTCTTAAAAATATTAGAACACTAAAATGAATATAAAGTAGTGTGGTATATTTTTGATGTAGAATAAAATATTTTCGAATATAATGAGGTTCATAGATGCGTTCCTTATGGACGTATCCAACCCAAAATACAGGGTATGCAAATCCTAGAGCGGGAAACATAATTTTGCACGTGTTTCGAATAAGCGGAAACTTTCCTTTGGCAAACTTCGCCAGCGATAGAAGACCAACTCCACAATCTCAACCCCTCGGATAGTTTTTGGGGGCGTTTAAAAATGCGCGACCGCATTCATTAGAGCAAATGGCTTAAATACTTGGCCAGTCGAAACTGATGAATGGCAGCTTAAGAACCCGGGATTCGGGATTCGGGACTGGGAACCCGGGGAACAGAACAATTCCCCCAACTTCCGCTGCGAGTGGAACTCCAGCGAAGCCACGGCATTTGTTTGTTTGTTTGACTTTGGGCTCCCGGGTCTTGGATTAAGTTTTCTGGCCCGGGAAAACTTTCGTGCTTCTCCTCCACCCGTCAACTCATCCCCAAAAGATTTGCGTTATCGCCCTGGCCGCATACTTTTGCCGCTCGGTGTCGAGCAGCTGCGAGTGCATTTGCGTTGCATACTTTCGGGCATCCCGGGCGAAAATACTTGCCCGCCGCTATCGGAATTTGCAAATATTCTTATAAATTATTATATCAAAGTTCGGCATTACTTATGGCTGGCTGGCTTCGACAGCCAACTTTGCATTACTTTCCACACTTTTCCCGCAACTCAACTCAACTCTACTCACTCTCCCTCACTTGACACTTTAGTGTAATTAGTTCTCGTGCGGTTGCAGCTTTGCGGGAAAACCTCTTTGCCTTCGGGGCGAAAATGCACTGGTTTGGGCCTTCCATGTTTTTGCGGCTTTTTCATGCCCTTTGATGTGGCAAAAATTTCAATTAATGCAATGCAGAATACTTTCCAAATGCCCCTGCCGCACTCGTTTTGCATGTGGATTATGAAAATCGCTTAAGTGCCGCGAGCAGGGATTGCTTAAGATGCTAAACTAATGCGTTTCTTAATGCTTGATTAGGCAGCCTAAAATATTAAACTTTTGCGGTGTTCAATAAACTGGCTAACAAATCGGTTTATCAACGAAAATATAAATGGTTTTGCAAAGCAAGCAAATAAATTTTGTAGCAACTAAGTAACTTTGCACAATTCGAAAGCAATGTTAATCTTTTATTTGAATACATATATTTTTGTATTACTCAAGTTTACTTTTATGGATAACTATGTATCCGATTTTTTATATGAATTATTTTAAGTAAAAAGAAACCTATCAATTTTGTTTAAAAACTAATTTTCCCACACATCCAGCAATCAATTACTTGGCCTAAAAACTAAGAGCAAAAGTCAAGCAATTTGCCATAAGGAACTTTCTTTTTGGCAAGCTTTAAAGAAATTATACTTGACAGTTTTCAATTAGTGAGGAAAGTTTATTTTAATTGTGACAGTAACACGTTGTTGCCATCGCCTTTGCCACCCAGCTCCAAAAAGGCAAGAACAACAAGGACAAGTTTGTCAGGACAATACAAAAGCCTGGCAAACTAAGGCAGAAGTCAGAAGGAGCGCCCTAGGAGCCACAAAATGTCAAAAGAAAACTTTTCTGGCCAAGATTAATTACAATTGAAAACAAATGAATGCAAAAACGATAAGCAGCCGAAAGGATTTCCACAGCCAGTTAGCAAGGAGCGGGTTGCGGATCGAGCCAAATGGAAATGAAAGCCCAAAACTCAACTTTGCCAATCAAGATACAAGGGGAGTGGGTTGGGGCAACCAGAGGAGCTCTAATCAGAGGAATGGTGTTGAAATAAATGTTCACACCTACAGCAGAAGCCAGAAATGCAAGGGCATTAGCTGCACACTGAAAGAAAGACATTTGAAAGAATATAAATTGCATTTTCAATGGGATAAAATGTATATTAGAAATGTAATACGTCGATTGACATTAAAATCGAAACCATTTTGGTTTAAGAACTCAATCATTTTAATGTGATTAATTCTAAATCCTTTGAGTTCTTTGTATTAAATTATTTCCATGCAAAACAGTGTGTAGACTAGTTAAATATTTGCAGACAAATGGCTTACTGCCACAGATTTCTTAGCATTAAATCATGTTTTCTCAAAGTGCTGGTAACAACTGTTGGCTATTCCTGTTTTTTTTTGGGGATTCGAACTTTTGACCGAAGGTGGTGGCAAAGTTTTGGAGAGGTTCCTTTGGGTCGGAGAACATTTTGCTGGCCGGCGACGTGACCTGTTTAGTTTTGGGCGAGAGTTGCTCTATTTCGGTTTAGTTTTAAGTTTTTCATTGGGTGCGGGATTCCTTTGTTGGTGGAGTGCCAGCGGTCAATGGGCCAGCATTAGCACCACTTAACCCGCAGTGCAGTGCAGTGTTTTTGTGTTTTTCGATGGCGAGGCAGTTTGCCTTGCAAAAGTTTCGTGCATAAATCATGAAATTAATTAATTTTGACACACATTCCCCTCATTCGCTCTCTTAAAAAGTAGCGCCATAAGCAACTTTGCCATCAAAGTGTTTTATTCCTTTTTTTTTTTTTGTTAGGCAGTCTCTTCTCTTTGCCAGAAATTAAAAGTAGAATTGAGAAGTGAAAAATCAACACCAACAACAACTGAACGGGGAAAACTTGCCTTGCCACGCAAACTTTTTCAGCGTGGAATCAAGTTTGAAATATGTGCAAAATTCATTCAGTATTTGAAATATTCCCAACTCGCCATAAGTTTCGTATGTTTCGCCTTTTTTCGCTTCTTTTTATTCGCAGTTTCTTCCTTTTTTTATTGCTGCCAAAAATAAAACTTGCGCCGTGAGTTTAATTTTATTCATGCTACTAAGTGAGTGTTGAGTGAGTTTTCTGGAAAAAAAAATACGGAAGCAGAGGGAAATTTGGAGTTTGAGGAGCTCACGAAAAGTTTGCGCCCAAAATGTTTCACTATTTAATTGCATAATTTGAAAGAGCACTGAGATTACACCTCCGGCCGAAAAAAAGTTTGCAAAGGCGATGGACAAAGGTGTTTGGGAGCACGGAATATATTAGTTCGCGTTTCTGTGAAAAAAAAGTAAAAGCTTTATGGGATACTTTATTTAATAAATCGCTTTCTGCTTAATTTGATAGTTTATGAGCCAAAAAGTTGAGTTCTAAACTACTATACTTGAAAAATCGTTCTTATATTGATTTCAAATCTGTTTATAATTTTGAAATTCTCCAGAACTTCAATGGGTAAAGCAGTAAATAACAACCAATGATGGAGATTCATGTTCCTATATGAAGATAGCTTTTATTTAATTTGAAAAAAGTACAATTTTTGGTCAATGCCAGACTCAGAAAAGGTTGAAAACAAATTCCCACAAGGTGTCCTTGTCCTCATCGTCTTTATCCAAATCGGCGAGTTTCTTTTTAAGCTTTCTTAGCTGCTTTTCATCACTGAAGATCGCCCTAAATACTCGGTCAGTAAAGTTATCATAGATGCCGAGCCTTTTAAGGAGTTTTATGACCTTCTTATTAAATTGTTTGTCGGTGAGTTGTTTAAGGGCAGGATTCTCCTTAGATAAAGTTTGATTCTGGATCCCCGAAGTTTCAGCTGTATTGAAGGACTCGCCACTCTGTATGAGGAATCTGACCATATTAAGAGCCTTTACTTTTTCATCCAGTTGGGAAATCGGGAGTTCGGCGATTTGTTGAAGTTTCAGGTAATAAGGAGCATACTCAGAGGGCCACAAATCTTTGAGGCCTTCTTTTAAGCGGGAAGTTACGATATCGTCAAGCTTTGTAAGTGGATCCGCAGTCACATTATCCTGGCTCTGAATTCCTTGCGATAGCAGAAGAATCGCAGCCAATAGTAAAATCACCATGTTGTCTTTCAGAAAACTACTTGGCTTTTCTGCGAATCGCTGGCTTTTTAAAGCGACGTAGGATTGCTGATAATCTTGAGTTATGTTGTGCTGACAGGCAGTAAAATATTATTTTGACAAGGTCGCCGTTCATTTAGCTACGAATTGGGGTTACGGCTTCATTACTAGTTTATGAGTTGCTTTAGTTTGAAATAATATTTATTACCCTATTGACTGTCACAGTATTCCCATTTAAAAACAAACGCATAATGCACAAATGTATTCACATTACAACTTGCATAGCATGAATCAAATTTTTATTTTCGTTGTTCGGCTTTGTATCAATATCAATAAAATATAAATCAAAATTTGTGTGTCTTACATATGTTAGTTTTAATTGATATTATGTTATTTTTTCAAGCTCACTTAATATAAGATAGGGAAAATGCATTTTAGGGTGGGTGTAATTGGTTTTAAAATTTGTAAAATTTCACATGTTGAGTATTGATTTCTGCATGATACCTGCATTTATAAAACGGCACTGTGAAAAACCCGATTCAAGACCTTTCAATGGTTCCATCTCAGGCAATTAAGCAAATGCAGCGAATGTCTTTTACTGCCGGGGAATTGAAAAGGCAAATACGGGGAGGGGCGGTGCTGCGCGGGGGTGGTAATGCGGAGGGGGTGGTGAATAAAATGCAAAAACATTAAGCCCGGAACAGAACTCGCCTCGGAACCAGACCAAACTTCGAATGCAAAGAAAAGCGGCAACTGTGACAATGTAAACAACAGTTCCTGGGGTGGGGAAAATGGCAGGGGATGAGGGGCTGTGGGTGGGGCAGTTGGTGGTAGTTCTGGGTGGTTCAGGGAGGTGGTGGTAAAAAGTGCATACAAAATTGCCAAGTACCGGGGGAACAAAAGAAACAAAAACGACGCCGTCAGCTGCAACGCAAAACTGCAGCTAACCGAAAATGGTAATGGCCTCCATGGGTGGGGAATAAAGGGGGAGGGGGAGGGGTAAAGGGGGAGGGGCCTCAATGTTTCAGCTTAATGCGAAAATCTTGTTGCACGCCGCCTGCAGCAAACGATTCGGCCTCCAGACCATGGTGAAAAGTCTATTGTTTCACAATCATAATTCTCCTGTAAGCTGTCGGTTGAAGGGTTTTCATGGGTGGACGAGAGGGGGGTGGGGGGATGAAGCGTTTTCCTGGCTGCAGGAAATGAACATCATTAATTTTGCCATTTTGCATTTGCATTGGAAATGGCATTTCAATATTCGCTTCGCTTTCAAGATTGCCAAACCATTTTCCGCGCAGCCAAATAACCTTTATTCAAGCCAGTTCCCCCGTCCCGCTCACTCCGATTATCGCCCTCCCACTCGCTCCCTCTCTCTCCCTCTCTCACTCTCTTACTCTCTGTCGGCGGCTCGGAAAAACTTTCAACTGCTGTGCGCGATTGCCACGACGTGACTTAATTTCCACCGCCGACAGGCATACAGCTAAATATTTGTTCTATTCGCTGGGGGAGGCGATTTCGGGCAGGGGCTTATATAGACTCTTACACTGGAAAAATAGTGCAGAATCTTTAAGTAATATAGTGTGGAATTGGAGAGTTGAGTGCCTACATTGCTTTATATATTTTGTTAAGCTATGAGATGAATAACAATTAGGAAAATCTCATCAATAGGATTGATGAACTTAAGATTAGAATTATGTTTTAAGTTTTGTTAATAACTATATAACCAAAATCAAAAAAGCTACTCAGTATATTATTCTTTTTATTAGCATATTCGTAATGGCGTAATAAGTGTGAGCATTTAAATTTAATTAAACTAACATTTCGATTTATAGTTTATACATAAAAGATTTTTATGTACCCTCGACAGACTAACAAAAAAAAAATAAAAAAGTTTTGATTTTTAATGTTTCTTATGCAAAATATATTTTAAAATAATTTTGTTTTTAAAAATATGTAATTTATGAAACATTTCTGCCTGTGTATGTTTCACTTTGAGCATTTATCAATATATGGACATGTCCTGATAACTCTGTCGATGGGAATTGCGGCACGTAGCGCTCGACACTCAAGTGTCCAAGTGTTGAAAGGGCCGTGCATAAAAACTAACACGTACGCACCGATCCGATCCGAACTAAACTCCAACGGGGGTCAATTGGAGGGGCGGGGGCTCTACAGTATATCCCATGGCTAAGCCAGTCCATATTAGATATATGTACCCTATACAGTATATACTTCGAAAGTGAGTCCGGCAGTGGGCTCGAGAACAAAAATCAAAGCTAAGCACTTTCAATTGGATTTATGCGTTTGCGATGTGCCCAAAGATGCGAATCGGAATCGAAATCGCAATCGCGTGCCCAGCTGGCTAATGTCTCAATTTCTCTGGCTATAAGGCCTGTAACCCTGCCACTCCCCCTTCCCCCTTTTCTGTACCCAACCCTCCTTCAAAGGACTTTCTTATTAATCAGCACAAAAAGTTTGCGGCACAAACTTGCAATTCAGCCGATAAGCAAATAGCCCAAAAAACTGTTTACACAACGCATACAACGCCAATTATCCCTATTCCTATTACAGTGCCCATGTGTGCGTGACTATTTGTGTGTATGTGTGCGTGTGTGGGTGCTCATGTGTGGGTTTTTGTGTTCGAGTGCCTTTGGTTATTAAGTTTTATGATCAGTTTGTGTTTTGCCTTGAAACGATTTATTTAGCTAAGCGGAATTAATTGGAGTTTTACGTGTTGATTTACCCCGAACTTACATAATTCTAATTGAGAAGGCAAAAGAAGGGGGAAAATCCCCTTAAGGTCGGTCAGGAAAAGCTCTTCTGAATCGGCCTTCTGGAGTGTAAACAAAGGATGATGGAAAGTGAAGGGTTGCAGAGCTGTAAACATTTGCGTTTATTTTCTTTAAATTTGTCATTTAACTAGAAAGAAAAACCATTCATAAATTACAAGAGAGTATGATTTCTTGTTGAAAATAAATTGCTTAATTTATCTTATTCACTGTTTTGCAATTTAAGACTGAAAATTCAATTCACCCTTGCAATGAGAGGTTAAACCCCTAAATCTAAATGAATTAGCATTACTATACTGTTGCTATATAAGACTACATTCAATTCGATTGTTTGTGGCTATAATATTTTGTACGGATCAAATTAACATTTTCATATAATTTTTAATTTCTAATGAAATTTCTAAAGTACTTCAACCAACTACAAAAATTTCACTTTAAAAACCTAATTTCGGTGAAAAAGTAAATGCGAAAGAAAACCGGATGAAATTTGGTTTGAACTATAGTTTGGTTATGGCTTATAATATTTACTTTATTAATAAAAAATAGGTAATAGTTAAAATAAATCTCTACTGTACCTTTTAAATGCAGATGCTCTTCTGCTATGTTCTTTTTTAATTTTTGCGCAAGCTCATCAGTTTCCACTACACAAAAAAATTGATGGTCGCCCTTTCACTTCAAAGGAGCATTTGGAGCTCCGCCACTTTTGGGGGAAACCGCACTTAAGGCGGCCAACAAAAGCGACCCGAAACCAAATCGCTTAGCAAACAATGGCGGATGTCCTCCACAAGCCCGAAAATATCCTTAAGAGCACACATCGTGTGCGGTATCCAGCTGCTGGGCAGCCCGAAATGCTTTATTCGATTATTTGCTGAAATGTTGCGAGAGCGGGTTTCGTTATTTATTTGCCTTGGGGGCCGGCATTTGCTCCCTCTATTCCGCATTAAGTTAAGCGGGCGAGGGCATTAACCAACATTCCTGTGGCCGGCAACAAAAAATTGCGGCATATTTCATGTTTGCTCCAGGAGCTTTTCTTGGGACGACTTGGATCAAAACCGCTCAAGTGTTAAAATTTCCAGGCTGGAGATTTGCATGACAGGCGGGTAAAAGCGAAAAGGGAAAGCGGTTGTATTGGCTGCCACATATTATATATACCTTTATTGAAAACATAATACGCCTTTCGCATACACGGTTTCCATTTCATTGCTTTCGGCTGCCATTCGATTCGATGCGATGCGATTCAAGTCGATTCAAGTCGATTCGATTCGTTTCTATCCCATTCAATTCGATTCTGTTTTGGGTATTTTTTCGGATGGCGCGTGACAAAACTCAACTTATGCCGGCTTTGAAATTTTCTGTGCCCGGCTAATCCGAGGATGTCCGAGTCCTCGGAGAGCTGTCAGGAAAGTGAGGAAGTGGGGCCGAAGGATTGGATCCTAAGCCGACTGTCCGGTGCGTTTTTTCGAGTGGCTGTCACAAATGCTTCTGGCCTAGAGCCATCGCAAATGGCCAGAATCGGGGGTCATCGACGGGAGTCAGCCATGTCAATGGCCATGAAATGGCAGGTCGACCGGAGGGGGGAGCCTGCCAAGAGGTCCAATCAGAAATGGAGGCCCAGGACACAGGTCACTCAGTCGACCAGGTCACTAAAGAGATCCCTCTGCTGCAAACTTATGGAAATATATTGGTTTAAGATTAAAGTATAGATTTGTTCAGTGGAAAAAAAATGCAGAAGTTAATTTTAAGTTTTCCTTTATCTCTTTGGTTTAAAAAAATTAAGTTGTTCTCACCAACAATCCATAAAGAAGAATAAAAGTTCCTTTTAATGATAGTTACTTCTTCACATCATATATAAAATGTATAAAATATCTCTTCAAATTAAATCACTTCATAGAATAATTTATCTTTTTCTTCAACGCAATTTGCTGAAATAATTTGATTCCTTAAGTCCACCTTAACTTCCCGGATTTACCTTCATAAAATTTTCCTGATAACATTAGCAATGCAAACCTTTAACCCTTCTCTGTCCCCTGGCACTCCTATTGCACCCTGAGCCCTAAGTAAACAATCTGCGCACTTCATTTGGCCAACAAAAAAAGTGGACACAATTTACAAGCTGAAAATCTCTGACAGCTTACAAAGAAATTTGGCAAAAAAATTTAAGGCGCCCAACTTAATCGAAAACTTTTGCGTGAAAAACTCTTTGGAGGGTTTGTC